CGAAAAAACCTAGACCGAAGATTTTTTTTTTTTTTAAATCTTCTTAAAATCATTATCGTTTGTCCGAATTTTAATAAGATTTTAAATAAATACGGTTTTTAGGTAAAATGAACATCATAATTTAATAATATGATCTGTTCTGACCGTTTATTGGCAATTTTTCTTAATTATAAACTCTTTTTTGGTCGGAGTTTTAGTATTTTTTGTGAAAATTGATAGAAACATTGTATTTTGACAACTATATATAGATTATAAGTCAGAATCAATTAGAACTAAGATCTATAGTAAAGCACTTTTTCAAAAGATTTTAACTAAATTCATGCTAACGCCGATGAGCGAAAGTGATCTAAAAACTCCAAAATGGTGTTCTTTAGATTCGCTATTAGGGGTGGTAAAAAGGTTTTGAAAATTATGTAAAAAAAAAAAAAGTTTCTTTGATTATTAAAAAATTAAAACGTAAAAAATTTTTTACTATCTATAGCTCTTGTTTGGACATAATACGCTGATAAAACCATTTTTATTTTATACATTAATTTTTTTAAATAGTTTTAAATATATATATATATATAGATATATTTTTATATTTTACTATATTATTTTATTTTAAATTAATGTTATATTAAGATATTAAATTATATAAATTAATTTTATACTTAAATTTATTTTAACTTAATGTTTAAAATTACTTAATTTTTAAAACCAAGTAATTTATTTATTAATTATTTTTTTTAAATAAATTAGTTTACTTAGTGAAACACGCGCTGAAAATAAACAAGACTGATTTAAATGTATTTAAGTTAACGTTGTTTTTTAAATATTACTTTTAATTCTGTTTTTAATTACCTTTAGAAATATGTTTATTGGTTTATCACTTTTAGAAATATGTTTATTAGTTTAGCACAGTCAGGGGTTAAAGTAGAATAAGAAATCAAGTAGAACGGTGTTAAAAAGTTCAAAGCGTGTTCAAAGTAATGCGGAATAACCCACTCCGTCTTCTTAATAAGGTCATTTAAGCTTTTGCTAAGTATTGAATACAATAGTATATACTATAGCGTTTTGAAACACTATAGCAATTTCCAAAATGATTTTGTTTCAGTTAATTTATTTTCCTTTCTACATGGTCCTTCCTCGCAATCAGTTGTGCGTCAACTTATATTCACCCATTCTTTTGCCTACTCTTTTGACTGAAATTCTTTGAGTGGAGGACCTTCAATGCTGATAAAAATCAATCATGATGTATCTTTTACTGACAATATGCTTTGTACATTTGTACAGAATATATTCGAAATGCCCCTTTTATATTCTGCATTGATCACACGATTGATGAAAAGTACAGACCTTTTATATTCTGCATTGATCTCACGATTGATGAAAAGTACAGACCTTTTATACTCTGCATTGATCACACGATTGATGAAAAGTACAGACCTTTTATATTCTGCATTGATCACACGATTGATGAAAAGTACAGACCTTTTATATTCTGCATTGATCACACGATTGATGAAAAGTACAGACCTTTTATATTCTGCATTGATCACACGGTTGATGAAAAGTACAGACCTTTTATATTCTGCATTGATCACACAATTGATGAAAAGTACAGACCTTTTAATCTTGGCAATCACGCTTGGGAAATATGATCACATAAAACGGACACATGAAAAATTAACGAAAAATCATCAAACAGAAAATTTTCAGAAGATTTTCCGACTATACTTAGGAAAATTGTATTTCATTTTGTTCATTTTGTGGCCATGAATATCGTTTAAAGCATTGCGCTGATTGAGTTAAGATATGATTTTAATCAACAGATTCTATGCGTGATTTAAAACTTATTACCAGCTGCTGATAGAAAGTGGCCTCATAAATAAAAGGCTGGTTTCTACCTTTTGATGTAATCAAATCTTGGAAAATACCATATTTAATGACCAGTTTGACTTTAGAGACCTTGGGACTTCCTCCAAACTTTCTCTCTTCGAAGATAGATATAAGTCGAGAGATAGCGTGAATTGCTTTTAGGAATGTGATATTTTTCAATTGTAGAGCTTCTGAAGTGGTTTTAATTTTTTCCAATGCATCATACATAAATGCCAGGTTTTTAAGAAAATTCACGCTTGCAAGTTTCTGTGGAAAGCTTTTAAATCAAAAAAAAATCTCTCCGTTCTGTCCCGTGTTTGATTAATTGAAGTATTAAAAAAATGCAAATGTAAAGCTTTGAGGTTGTGAAAAATGGCTTTTACTATTTGAAATGATGAGGCAACCCATTGTGTACTCAGAATTCGTCCAATCTTAAGAAGACAGACTTCTATTTCAACTGCTCCTGCAGAAAGTTCTCTCTTGTTTTTCGAAGACTGAGTGTTGTACAAAGCATAAAGAGTATCAATGAAGCACTTGAAATGATAAACGGCTACGCATACTTTAAATGCATCACTTACAGCCAGTTCAAAACGATGGTTAAAGCAATGCCATGCAACTAACCGAGAAAACTTCTGCTTCA